AAACCCAAAGAAGGGTCACTATGAGTCAGAACTGACTCACCAGCAGTGAGTGAGTGTTTTCAATATGGATTACATCTCAACATAAGGAAAACAAAAATTCTCACAACTAGACCAATAAGCAACATCACAGTAAATGGAGAAAAGATTGATGTTGTCAAATATGTCATTTTACTTGGATCCACAATCAACATCCATGGAAGCAGCAGTCAAGAAATCAGACATTGTATTGCACTGGGCAAATGTGCTTCAAAGACCTCTTTAATGTGCTGAAGAGGAAAGATGTCACTTTGCAGACTTAAGGCGTGCCATGCCATGGTATTTTCAAACACCTCATCTGCCTATGAGAGCTGGACAATGAATAAGGAAGACCAACGATGAATTGATGCATTTGAATTGTGGTGTTGGAGAAGAATACTGAAAATACCATGGACTGCCAGAAGAATAAACAAATCTGTCCTGGAAGAAGTGTAGCTGGAATATGCCTTGGAAGTGAGAATGGCCAGAGTTCATCTCACCTACTTTGGTCATGTTGTCAGAAGGGACCAGTCCATAGAGAAGAATATCATGCTTGGTAAAGTGGAGGGTCAGAGAAAAAGGAGTAGACCTTTGGTGAGATGGATTGACACAGGGGCTGCAACGATGGATTCAAGTATAATAAGGACCATGAGGATGGTGTAGGACCGGGCGAGAAATGTTTTGTTCTGTTGTTGTATGTAGGGTTGCTATGTGTTAGAATCAACTCCACAGCACCTAACAACAACATAACACAGGGCCAGAGAGAAGAATGAGGATAAATAGGAAGTGACAGCTAATTGGAATGGAGTTACTTTTTTGGGGATGAAAGTATTTTAAAATTGATTATGATGATGGTTGCACTATTCTTTGGATATACTACAACTCACTGAATTGTGTACTTTAAATGAGGGAATTAATTGGCATGTATATTATATCTCAATAAAGCTATTAAAAATAAGTTAATAAATGATAAAACTGAATTATATAAAAAATAATTAACAATATAAAAAAACTTATAATTATATTAAAAAAACTTCACAATACCACAATTTTAATTTTTTATTGAATGTATTATGTAGGAATCAATCCTCATACTAGTATGTGAAAGTGCTGTTTCTATCCAATTTATTGGATTAGCAATAATATTAAATTATTTAGCAGTCAATATCAACATATAAAAATAAGGTAACATAGGATTCCCAGGTAAAAGATACTTAGTTAAATATTACTTTCAGATAACAAATATTGTTTCATTGGTATATGTATGTCCCAAATATTATATGGAACATACTAATACTATAATTTGTTTTTGTTGTTTATCTGAACATGAAAGTTAATTGGAAGTCCCATTTTTTTCTTACTAAATCTGGCAACCCTAGGTACACATTCACTATTTTAAATTGTGCCATCTCAGAAAAAGTACTGATGACCTAATGTACAAAATAGCCTCAGAAAGATCACTTGTACCCACAGGCATAAGTCCAAAAGATGCCAAGAATGTAGTCCAGGGATGTCAGCCTTGAGAGATAAACAGAATCCACCTGGTGCTGATGCCTTTCAGAAAAAAGAGACAAGCCTTATAGTCATTACTTAGTGGCCTCTCTTTCTCCTTCTCATGATATAAGGAGCCCCAGTCCTTGGGAATTGAACACGACCCATGATCATAAACTTTAGTTCAAGTTAACCCTGTATTTGTCCATAGGTCGTGGGGAGCAGACTTAAAGAAGACTATTCTGAAATTTTGCCTGTTCCCCACTTATGCATAAGTGGTTAAAGTCTTTATTTTCTCTTCTCTCAATGTGACTGAATTGGCTCTGTGTCACTGTGGTCATGAACCCACATTTTTGGGTAGCAGTCCTGGTAATGTGAAATTCATCAGACACATGTATGTTTAATGTTATGTTGTTATTTGTTGTTGTTGTTGTTGTTGTGACTCATAGCGACCCCTCCTTAGGTTTCCGAGGCAGTATCACTACGGAATTAGATTGCCCCATCTTCCTTCCGAGGAGTGGCTGGTGGATTTGAACCACCAGCCTTCTGGTTAGAAGTCAAGTGCCTTAGCCACTATGCTACCAGAGCTCCCTATGTTGTTATAGACAGTTGAAATTTGGGAAAGTGATTTGAATTTTCTATTATTTCTTATGCATAAAATGCAGTTTACTTCTGTTAAAAATAATTAAAAAAAACTCACTGAAATTTGATCATAAGATTTCTTCTGAGCAGTTATTCAATATACATATAGCACACCATTTTGATTGCAGAAAAAGCTAGCTACAATGAGCATTATAAAGGGAAAACACTTTCAAGGAGCTCTAGTGGTGTTGTGGTTAAAGCATTTGTCTGCTAATCAAACGTCCGAGGTTCCAACCCGCCAGCTATTCCATTGGAGAAAGATGAGGCAGTCTGCTTCTGTAAATATTTACAGCTTTGGAAACCCTATGGGCCAGTTCTACTCTGTCCTGAAGAGAAATTGTGAGTTGTAATTGACTTGATGGCAGTGAGTTTGTTTTGTTGTGTGGTTTAAAATAAGAAAAGCTGTGTGTTTGAGTTATATTCTATCATCATATTTATTTGATTTGTATGCTGACCTAGGGGATAATGACTCTAGATTTAAACATATTCTATAGAGACCCTTTTATTAAACCTTAAATAGAACAAAGACAAAACAAACGTAATATCTAGATGAGGGAAACTGTCAGTATGAGCACAGTACAGAGGCCAATGGAATCTGCCGACTCACAGACATGGTTTTCATTACATAAGTTAGAAGACAAAAGAAAGCATCACGAGGTCATGATTGGTGGTAGGTCAATTCATCACTGTCACAGGAGGAACTACACAATTAGGGGAAGGATCATAATTGTGGTAAGAACATAATTGCAGATTTAAAAACATTATAAGGTTGATTCTAGAGTTTTGATTACCTGGCTATGTGATGTGAGGGGTATGACTTATGATCATGTGACCCTGAGTTACAGTCACCAGAACCCCAATCTTTAACTTAAGTGAGATGGCAAATAGCTGGTTGGCAACTTTTGGTAAACTCCCAGGCAAATTCCCTAGTTCTTTATGGAGCATCTTTCTGTATGCTACTTAATCTACCTTCAACTACATTCTTTCTGGATTTGCCCCAGACTTGTCTAAGCAAAGCCACATTGTTGAACTCAAATGGTCAGCAAGCACTGAGGAAGTAAGAAAGAACTCAAACGGCATCTGAATTTAGGTCAAGACCCAAAATGGAATTAGGGATCCCACGAGAGATTACAGCCTTACACAAAGAAAGTGCTTAAAAATTTAAGCTCTACTGAAATGCTGAGCAAATAATCTGAGAAACTGGACTATATGAAGAAGAATGTGGCATCAGAAGTGGAGGAAGACTCATTAATAACCTGTGATATACAGATGACATAAACCCTGCTTGCTAAAAAATTTGGATTACATCTCAACATAAAACAAACATCCTCACCAGGCGCACAGTCTGGGAACCAGGCTGTGCGAGGGGTCGGCCCTCCCCCTACTTCCCTGGAATCCACCCACCGCCCTCGGAATTCAGATCTGGGGTCCCAGGAGGCAAAGTCTGCAGGCACGTTGAGATTTCTACAAGTCAGAATCAACTTGATGACAATGAATTTGGACCAGTAAGCAACATCATGATAAATGGAAAAACGACTGAAGTTGCCAAGGATTTCATTTTACTTGGATCCACAATCAACACCCAGGAAGCAGCAGTCAGGAGATCAGATGACATATTGCACTGGGCAAATCTGCTACGAAAGACCTCTTTAAAGTGTTAGAAACAAAGATGTCACTTTGAGGACTAAGGTGCACCTGACTCAACCCATGGTATTTTCAATTGCCTCATATGCATGTGAAAAGTGGACAATGAATAAGGAAGATGGAAGAAGAATTGATGCATTTGAATCTTGGTTTGAGATTGCTAGAGAAATGAATAAATCTGTCTTGGAAGAAGTACAGATGGAATTCTTCTTAGAAGTAAGGATGGTAAAATCTCATCTTATGGACTTTGGACATGTTATCAGAAGATATCCCTGATAACATACCTCCTGATAATCATGTTATCATTATCTCCCTGAAGAAGGACATCCTGCTTGGTAAAGTAGGAGGTAAGAGAAAAAGAAGACTCTGAAGGAGATGGATTGACACAGTGGTTGCAACAATGGGCTCAAACAAAGTAATGATTGGGAGGATGGCACAGCACTGAATAGCATTTTGCTCTATTATACATAGGTGCACCGTGAGTTGTATCTGACTCAATGGCATCTAACAACACCACCAACAACATTGGGTGGCACAGTTTGTGCTCAAGAAATAATCAAAAGGATGGAAGTTTGAATCTACCCAGCAAGACCTGATGATCCACATCTGTCTGATTACAGCCATTGAGAACCCTTTGGAGAGCAGTTCTACTCTGAAACATGTTGAGATTTCCACAAGTCAGAATCAACTTGATGACAATGAATTTGGTTTAGTTGCATATGCTTTTAAATAAAAAAACAATCCATATAATATTGCTATCCATAAATAAGGGCGTTCTGGTACCATAGTGCCTAACCAGTAGGTTGACAGTTCTAACCCACCAGCCACTCTTTGGAAGGAAGGTTAGGCAATCTACTTCCCTAGTGATACCAACTTTGAAACCCAAGGAGTGGTTGCTATTGGTCAGGTGGGACTTGACGGCACACAACAACAACATCCATGAATAAATCGTTCTAGATTGTGATTTTATTTTTATTGTAAGACTAGTTTTAGAAGTTTTGTGAATTAGACGAAGTAGACATTACTTCTTCAATGCGATAAAATTTTCTGTGGTAATAAAAATTGAGTCATACTTTTCCTACTACTTTTTTAATATGAATCATACCTCATTTGTAATTTACTCAATAATAGTTTTCCAGTAGCATTATGAAAATCCAAATGATGTGGGCATTATTATTATTATTTTAAAAATTATTTTCTACTTTTAGGAGCCTCCATCATTGAAGCTGGAACTTCAGAAAGTTACAAAAATGATAAAGCAAAACTCTATTGGCATGGGATAGGGTTCTTAATTTATGAAATGCCTCCAGATATTATTCTTCAGGTAAAAGTTAAATTAAGAATAACCTGTTTGGCGGCAAGCATGAGACTACGTGGGTGGCGGGAAGAGGGGGAATAGAACCGGGCGTCTGGTGTGCGCGGGTGAGGCGGCAGTGTGCCCCCATGAGGCATGCCAGCCTTGGTTTGCCCGTGTGCAGGAGCAGGGTCCGCACAGCTTCCCCTTGCCCTGAGTTTGAGGGTCACGGAACAGCCGTGAGCCCTACAGGTTGGCCAGGTGTGTACCCCGTTGGGCTGAAGACTTTGCCTCCTGGGACCCCAGATCTGCATTCCGAGGGCGGCGGGTGGATTCCAGGGAAGTAGGGGGAGGGCCGACCCCTCGCACAGCCTGGTTCCCAGACTGTGCGCCTGGTGAGTACTACAGTAAGCCGCAGTGGTTACCAGAATGGAGCACTTCTGGGGGGTCAGCACCTAAACATAACGCACTGAGACATTCTCTCCTTTATCTTGGCCTCTTCTCCCAGACCTATGGTGCCCAAGTGGCTCGCGCCTGGTCGAGCGCTCGCACCTTTGCCTTTCCAGAGCTGGCCAGCCGGCTGGAGCCCAGGTGGCCATAAAATGAAAATACTTCTCTGAGGCCCTCCCCGCACAGCACTTGGCACAAAGAGCAGTTAATAACCCTTTGCGCCTGTGTTTTGTCTGTCTCTCCTTAGCCATTATTTAACCATTATTACTTTTATGACATGGGTCGTGACCAAGGTTCAATAAAAGTGAAATCAAATAAAAACGGAAATGTCAGAAAGCAAAAAAAAGAATAATAACTTGTTCGTATTTTAAGACTTTATTATTATTTAACATGAAATTATTGATGTTTAAAATGGAGGCAATATAAGATTCTCCATACTTGTTTTGGTATAAGATTCTCCATACTTGTTTTGGGACCTGAAATGATCTCATTTTACAGTTTTTTTTTTTAATTATGAACAAGAAATGCATTTGTTTTTCAAATACAACGAATAAATTCCATATTCTTTTCTTTAAACTGATTCTGTGGACTGCCTTTTCCATTGAAACCTGCAGTTAAGAACATTTATTAAAAGTGCATGATCTCTAGACTTCCAGAAAGATGGAGGACTAGGGAGACAAGTGACACAGACCCACTTCAACAAAGAAAAGAGAAACCAGTTGACAGAGATACAGAAGATATTCCTGGAGCCCTTAGCTTTGAAAGGAACTATACGGAAGTGGATTAGGCACCAACTAGTGGAAAAACCTGAACGAAAACAGTGAGTATAGAGATGGTTGGAGCTCCGGACTGTCAGCTACTCTGATGGGCCCAATAGCCTGAATATTTCCAAGTGGCGGTGGGACCTGAGAGTGGACCTAAAGATCAGCCCTGGTCACCAAGGGCTTCAGGGATGACTGCACTGGTGGCCTACGCAACTAGGAAGGGAAACAGCAAGAAGGGAGTCAACCTGAGCTATTGTCTTTCCCCTGTCCAGAGGGCACAGCCAATTTGAATGTTTACAAGCAGTGGTCATTTTGAATATTTAAAGTGAACAAGGGCACAGCCATTTTGAATCTTTACAAGGGGCAGCCATTTTGGATTTTAAAATGATAGCGTTCTCATTTGGATTCCAGGGACTTAAGAATAGGCTCTGTTGGCCAAGGTTGGCAGGGACATACACGAGGCTGACAACAGGAAAGGAGACAGGTGGTGAGTGTACAAGTGCTAGGAACTAGTGAATGGAGGAGCACAGCATGGTACCCTGCTTATGTAGATAACATACAAAGAAAACAAAAATCGTGGGCAAGTAATGCCAACATACAATCACCAATTAAATATAAACACAAAAACATCACAATGCCTCAGAAACAACAGAGCATCATAGTCCACTCAAAGATGCAAGATAAAGCAGGAGAAACAAGGGACCAGGATACAGACCCAAAATACATCCCTGAGGATGACGCAGCATTGGAACTCCCTGATAAGGAATTCAAAAGAATTATATTTAGGTATCTTCAATGAATTGAGAGGTAGATCAAGGAAAACACTGACAAAATTAAGGAAAACACAGAGAAAACCCTACAACAATTTTGAAAGGCAATACAAGAAAATGACGAAATAAATGAAAAATTAGAAATGATACAAAATCTACACACAGAAATCCAGAAGATTAATACTAAATTTTCAGAAATAGGTAAGACATTGAACAGAGTAGAATTGAAGGAGTAGAATTGACTCAATGGAAGACAGAATTAGTGAGATTGAAGGCAAATACCTCGGTAGTTCTTTGGAAAGGGAACAATCAGAAAAAAGATCAAAACAAAAAGAAGAAAGCCTAAGGTTCATGTGGGATACCATCAAAAGAAATTACCTACATGTAATCAGAATCCCAGAACCGGACGAGACAAATAAAACCATAGAGAAAACTGTCGAAGATTTGTTGGAAGAGAATTTTCCTGGTATGATGAAAGATGAGAATATATCCACTCAGGAAGTTCAACGAACCCCAAACAGGATAGACCCCAAAAGAAAATCACCAAGACATATCATCATCAAATTCACTAAAACCAAAGCCATAAATAAATAAATAAATAAATAAATAAATCCTGAAAGCAGCATGGAAAAACAAAAAAGTTACCTACAAGGGGCAACCAATAAGATTAAGCTCAGATTTCTCAGCAGAAACCATGCCAGCAAGAAGACAATGGGATGGTATATATAGAACTCTGAAAGAGAAAAATTTCCAACGAAGAATTATATTCCCAGCAAAATTGTCCCTCAAATATGATGGTGAAATTAGGAGATTTCCAGAGAAGCAGAAATTAAGGGAATTTGTTAAAACCAGACCGACCTTACAAGAGATGCTAAAGGGAGCCCTTTGGACAAAGAAGCAACAACAGCCAACAAGTTACCATTAACACATATGATGATATAACCCAGAAAACACTCCAGCTATGGGAGTATCCAAAGTAAATAAATCTATAACATTGTGAACAGAGAATCAGAGACATAAATTGACAAATGACAGTACAAACCAAAAAGAGGGAAAAACTGCGTCATTACAGAACTTCTAGATAGCAGGTAAGTCAAGACAACTACAGGATAGAATGGACTTTTCTAAACTTGGGAAGAAAACTATAAATCACAGGGTAACCTCAAAGAAAAATGATAAAACTTTACATCAAAATAAAAAAGAGGACAAGCACAAATATTTAGCAAATACTAAAACAACAGTAATGAAGGAAGTGATAATACAATTCATAAACAAAATGAACTCAACATAGAAAATTATATGGAACAAAGAAATAGACACCACAGAAAAACACATAACAAAAATGACAGCAACACATTCATATTTGCTGATAATTACATATCTGGCAAAGGACTTATCTCTAAGATTTATAGAAAACTCCAATGTCTCAACAGCAAAGGAATTAACAATCCAATTGAAAAATGGGCAGAAGACATGAATAGACACCTCACCAAGGAGGGTATTCAGGTGGCCAGCTAATATATGAAGAGATGCTCACGATCATTGGCCATCAGAGAGATGGAAATCAAAACAACAGTGAAATACCGTCTCACCCCAGCACTGATGGCAAGGTTCAGTAAGATAGAAAATAACAAAAGCTGGCAGGGATGTGGAGAGATTGGGACTCTCATACACTGCTGGTGGGACTGTGAAGTGATACAACCACTGTGGAAAGCAATCTGCAGATTCCCTAGAAAGCTGGAATTGGAGATACCATTTGACCCAGCAATCCCATTACTAGGTATATATCCTAGAGTGGTGAGAGCCAGGACAGGAACTTAATATATCCACACTCATGTTCATCGCAGCACTATTTACAATAGTAAAAAGATAGAAACAACCTATGTTCCCATCAGTGGAGGAGTGGATGACCAAACTATGGTACATACACACAATAGAATGCTATGCAGAACTAAAGAATAATGTAAAGTCTGCAAACCTCCGCAAAATATGGATGAATTTGGAGGTCATTATGCTGAGTGAAATAAGTCAATCTCAGAAGGACAAATACAGTATTAGTTCATTGTTGTGGAGGGTCAAGGAACAAATACAGTATTAGTTCGTTGTTGTGGAGGGAAACCTTTTTGGTTGCCAGTGGTGGAAGGGGAGGAGAGAGAACACTGCAAAAAAAAAAAAAAAAGAATGCATTGACCCATGTCACTTTAGTTTTGTGTATTTCACTGTACATAAATTATATTTCAATAAAATGCATTAAAAAAAAAGGACCAAAAAAAAAAAAAAAAGTTTGAAGCATGTGGTGGTTATGTTTGTATGTCACCTTGGCTAGGCCTAGTTGAGTGTCTGGGCAGCTGGTGGTAGTTATTCCCCATGATGAGACTGGCAATCAACTCCATGGTAGGATCTACCATAAGCAGCTGAGTAGCTGCCTTTGGGATGTGGTCTGCTTCCTGTATATAAGGAGAAGCCTTGGGGATAGTCTCTAGCTTATGGCATGCTTGGACCCTGCATGTAGCCATGTTGTCGTTCAGTAGCCTGCCATGCTCTGCCGACCTTGGGACTTACAATGGACTGAAATTAATGGCCTGCCATGTGGTTTGGTAACATCGGGACTGTACCATTTTACTTGTCAACCTTAGGCTTCTCAGCATCAGCAGCCAGCATCTGTCTGAGTGAAGAAACATCTCTTGCTTCAGTGGGCTGTGAGCTGGAGACAGAGCTGAAGCCTGAGGCTGAGGGGCTTTCACCCAGCCCCTAGAGCCTGGCACTTTGAACTTGAACTTAAAGCTTCCAAACTGTGAGAGAAAAAACTCCTGTTTGTTAAGTCCATCCCATTTGTGGTGTATTCTTGTCAGAATGGCACTAGGTAACCAGAACAAAGGAGAAATACCATTTGACCCAGAAATTCCATTACTAGGGATATAACCTAATGAAGGGAGAGCCAGGACAAGAACAGATACATGCATACCCATGTTCATTGCAGAACTATTTACAAGAGCCAAAGGTGCATGACCTCTAAGTGCCAATACTGTACTAAGTGCTTTTTAGC